GAGTTTAACCTCTTTATACATCAAAATGAACGTGGGTGTGTCTTTATACATCCCGTTTGAAAAGAATACATTTAGAGATGTTTTAGTAATAATTTGTTGATGACAAAATCGATATTAGTGCCAATGTAAACTATATTCAAAGATCTAATTACAACATTGGTAAGATAACCTTTACTAATAAGTTTGTTTAAAGGTTTGATGAGTTTACACGGATCACATAGTGATTTCCGCGCTTTAAGTACAATATTACCGTAAAATGTAGGATGTGAAATACCGTTTTTAATCAGTTTTCAGGTACAGCCAAATTTACTAATCAAATCTTTCTATCTATGAAAGAACTTAGCAAACGTTTTACGTAATTTATGGTAACGAAATCCCTGACTTAATAATTTACCAGTGATGCATTGATTACGTTCGTTAAAATCTATGACATCACTACACACATGGGCATAACGAACGAGTTGGGATATATAAATACCGTTTAAACTCTTTTTCTAAATACTTTTTGGGTTTATTTGTTACAACTTCCTAACAAAATTAAATAAAAAAGACTGAAGGTCAAAGCCAAGGTCATCAATAAGCTTTGACCTTTAGGTCAACTTTCAGGTCATCGAATGCACAACATCTTCCAAGTGATTTTATTTTGTATCTGTCACTGTTTTAAAGCTATTTTGCTAACAATGTCAAAATTCTTTTTCAAAATACAAAAAAATGACACTTTATGTTCCAATAGCAACCACCCTAGCAACTAATTTCCAAAACCTTTATTGATAAATTATTCCTAGGCAACAGTGATAGTTTACATTTATTATCTTAGTATAATTGGTTGTGGATGCAAAAGTGTAAACTTATGTCATGCAAAATGCCTATAATTTGCCTTATTGAATACAGTGAAAACTCCACTATTTAAATCAGTGTTGCTCCCTTCTTCCCCTTTTGTCAGAAATATTTTTTATCTTTCATCTTACTCATAAAGTGTTATATTTTAATGAACAAAAGTCAAAATATTCATAAAACTTGAAATGTGTGCATGATTGCTGCTTTAAATGGGTCATTTTTGTTCGTCAAAATATGCATTTTTGAGGCAAAATCCAAGGGGACCCGTTAACATGGCAACGGGGCATAAACAAATGTTTTGTCAACATATTTCTTGTTTGTTTATCGATAGCTACCAACAAACCAAATTTCAAGAAAATCTGAGACTATGAGTGCCGCAACTTGGTTGGTGGTTACAGAGAATTGCTATTAAGAAGTCCATAAAACCTGACAAAATTAACCGCTGGACTATATCAACCAACAGAACGAATATAAAAAAACTATCATATTCTTGACTTGGTACACGCATTTTCCAGAGAAAATGGTGGGTTAAACCCTGTTCAGCTAGCTAAACCTTTCACTTGTATAACAGTTGTTTTACAACTTTTCCGTCTACATGTTATATTTGAGCCTTTTTTCGGAACAAGATTGCTCTACATTGTAATTGAAATAAAATTCTGCAGAGCAAACATTGTACTTGAAAAAGGATCAATTGTTTCACTTACGGTTTTATCCTTAAAGAAAGGTTCATTTAACGTTACACTTTGTGACTGAATTTCCTTAAATATCGCCTTTTTTCTACTTTGTCTGGGGATAAATTCAATGTCCACTTGAAAAAGCTGGTTATCTATTTTGATCACGTAATTCTTTATGAGTTATTATGAGCGTAGAACTATACTGGGTTTATAGAATCAATGGAAGTTTTACATATTCGTATAACAGGGTAAGTAAGATGTGCATGTCTTACTGGTTTCATCTCACATAGATCTAATTTTTATGTTGCGATTAAAAACGTTAAACCTTCGTGATAAGGTTCTTTCCTCAGATACTATAAGCAAAAATTCAATTATATTCAGTGAGTGAAATGGTTGTAAGATTTCCATATCGTTCTGATGGGAATATCTGTAGTAAGACCTTGAACTACAAGTCTTAGACTTCCAACATTAAATTCAATTATAATCAGTCGAGTAGACGACACATTCTTGCGGAAAAGTATAAATATCTGTATAAATATCTGTTCTATCAATCAGAATCTAAGCAAAAGACTAGAGGTAGATGTATACCATGAGACGACTGGATGCAAAGCAATACCGAATAATAAATGTTATGAAATGATTAAAGCGAATTAAAATAAAACATTTAATTTTGGCAAATTGTTACAATTTGATAAGAAAAGAAAAAACAACAACAAAACGATAGACGTTAAAGTTAATTTAATCAATGTTCAGCACAGTGCGTCAACAACACGTTGTCCACACATCTATATCAATTGCGAGTGAAAATACAAATCTAAATCATCAGTTATAACTTATGATGATCCATCGGCCTCTGATCAGTACATAATTACATTGTAAATAGTCTATCCACAGTAGAAATTAGCATGAAACATACGCTGAAAAATAAAACTTCCACAGAAAATGAAACTGAAAATACTAGGCATAAACAATGGGAGGGATAAATAATGGGAGGGTTAGTTTTCGGCAATCAACGGCAGAAGGTAAAACTTTTATTTCTTTAAACCACAAGTCGATAAAGGAACCAATCAAAATTCGTTGTTCTAATATAAAATTCATAAGAAGTTGTATCATTAGATAAATGTAAAGAACCGAAATAATTCAAACAGTATAAAGTCTATGTTGACTGTTGTACCCCTTTTTTGACATTTTTACCTATTATGTCTGTTTGTTTTGTTGTCAATATAATGGAATTTTATGCGACTATCATACAAGTGAGAGGTTTAGCTAGCTTTAAAACCAGGTTTACTTCACCATTTTCTACATAAGGAAATGCCTATACCAAGTCAGGAATAAGACAGTTGGTTTCCATTCTTTTGATGTGTTTGAGCTTTTGATTTTGCCATTTTATAAGGGACTTTCCGATTTGAATTTTCCTAGGAGTTCGTCTTTTTTTTTTTGTTATTTTACTTTTTTCTTAAAAATACAGTTGCCAATTATATATTTTTAATAAATTAAAATTAGCACAATTATGGACATTGATTATTTTTGCCATGAGTTGTGTTCTGTTTTGTAATTGATTGTAACAGATTTACCTTGAAGTAGCCAAAGTTCATTGTTGTGCACTGAGTACAGGTAGACTATATTAAAAAAAAATCACAACAAAAGAAACTTATTCATTCCGATGTTCAAACGAGTTGCAAATAGTTTGATATAATATATTTTGTTCTTTTGTTTTCTTTGTCTCGTCTGCAACAAAAGTCCTAAAGGTAAGACATAGCAATTAAAATATTCTGTCATTCGTCAATATTTATGTGTGTTACGACATTATTAGTTTTGTCAAAAAATCATGGAAACTTGAACAAAATCTTTTCCATGGTTAAGATATAGTATCTGGAGCAACCTTTTGAAATCTTTCATTTCATTTTCCCGAACCGTTAAGTGATAAATGGACTCTATTTTTTTGCAATTGAAAATTTTTGACGTTGTATTTAATATGTCAAACCTTAATGGAATATTATAAAACTTAGACAGGATTTTCATCCGGATGAGACAAAAACATCTGGATTAAATTTTAAAAACATTTCATATTATTATGCCCGGTCTGTTATATTAGAGGGACATCATATTTTCTGGTCTACTAGTCCGTCCCATATCCATTTCTCTTCCAAGGACGTTTACCATGTAGTTGAAGTCACATCAATTTAAAACTTAATATTCCAATCAGACATTACTGATTACTTAGAAGTAGTGTAGTTGAAGTCACATCATTTTAAAACTTAGTACACCCGTTCAACTTATATACCAAAGTACGGTTTTGACACTAACTAAATAGTTCACTGGACATGAAAATGTACCAGTGTGAAATCAGTACATTCTCAGGCTTTATATTTTGGTTAAGGCAGTTCACCATGAAGTTCTAGTCAGATTAACTTGAAACGTAGATCGAATGTTTACTACGATGTTAACTTGAATTGTATGCAAAATCACAAATTTTATCCTGATTTCACGGTTGACTTTACAAGAAAAATTTTGTTGCGCGGGGCCTGGTGGCCTTAATACACATATTCTTGTATTTTCTCGCATTTCATTGATAAATTGACTCTGCAGTTAACATTTAGATACAGTCTGTGATTAAAGTATTTTAGACATCAATTACGTTGACATACTTTGACATGTTTAACCCCGCCGCATTTTTGCGCCTGTCCCAAGTCAGGAGCCTCTGGCCTTTGTTAGTCTTGTATCATTTTTAATTTTAGTTTCTTGTGTATAATTTGGAGTTTAGTATGACGTCGATTATCACTGAACTAGTATACGTATTTGTTTAGGGACCAGCTGAAGGACGCCTCCGGGTGCGGGAGTTTCTCGCTGCATTGAAGACCCATTTGGTGGCCTTCGGCTGTTGTCTGCTCTATGGTCTGGTTGTTGTCTCTTTGACACATTCCGCATTTCCATTCTCAATTTTATTTCATGAAAATTTTACAAGGCTTGGACATAAATAACAGAGTAACAATCAGTAATATTCCAATCAAAAATATTACCTAGAAGTAGTGTATATCGAAAATTTAGATAATGATCCATTGTCATAATGATCATGTAGTGCATATTTTCATTTCTACCATTTTCCTGTATTATACTAATAAAATAAACGGACTTTGTATAATTTTGCAGTCAACATGTTGGTGCAGTCTATGTTTAAACAACTTTAATAACTTTGTCACAATGTCAAGGAATATTCCAAAACTTGAACCGAGGTTTTTTCATAATTAAGTTATATCACCATAAGCAAAAAGTTTGTTTCTAACGTTTAAATTTTCGGTTAAAGCAACCAAGGTATTTGAAAGTCAACATTCAATTTACATTTTCAAACTGACAGTGGCTAAGATGACAAGATTAGAAATAGGGTTTATATATATATGATGTGTGTATGTGTTAGTATTGATTTGAATACAAAAGTAATATAGTTAGTGTTATTTCAAACTCAGCATGTTTAACGGATTATAATTTCAGTTACATTAAAAACAGAAATAACTCTGTAGGAGTGTATATCGCAAATTGCAGACGCAATCCATTGCAATTGTACTTTGAAGTGGAAATTGTAGCCTTGGGTAGAAACAGTATAATTGGTAAGTAAATGTTAATCAATCGATTTTACCTGATCAATAGTTCAAAATGGAATTTTTGTTTGAGGGATGAGCTTTTTAAAAACCATATAGGGAATGGTTTGAATGGTCTGATTTAGTCAAACGAAAACTTAAAAAGGTGTCAAGTTTGGAAGGTATTTATGTTCTATGCAAAAATTAATTCATTATAGGATTGAGCATATTTTTCCATAGATAATTAATGTGTAAATTTGGCCGATTAAGTCTCAAACTGAATGATCGTCCGAATGACTTTTAAATGTTTTATGTAAAGTTTGCGCACCAATAACCTCTAGTAAAAATAGGTTTAATCCTCATAATTCTCACCCAAACAATTGTAATTTTTTAAGGTCCGCCTCTGATAGTATGGGTGTTGTTTAGAATTGCGCTAACGTTAAACGTATCCATCTGCGATGCGGCCGCTATATTTATGACGTCGCGTTATTGAGATTATGATGATGTTATTATTGAATAGAAAATTGTAACGGCAGACGTATTTGTATCTGTATCGCCTAAATCAAGCTTGAGATAACTATTAACAATACACAACATAACCTACCAATCTACATGGGTGCTGTGATTGGTGCCGTGACCAGGATGCTTCTGATAACGCCTAATTGGGTTCACATAAAAGTCAATCAAAGCAACACAAGGAAAATCGTGTGCCACAAAGGAAGTGTTGAAAACTATTGTAATTGAAATCGAAGGATTGCTAAACATTCGTCCGATAACTAACATTTCTACTGAATTAAAGATCATGAGCCGCTGACTCCAGCGCACCTGTTACAAAAACAATGTATATGTCTGTGACTTGACACCCGATCGGAATTCGGACAAAAATATTGACAGTTTTACATCTAAAGATTTGTGTGGCGAAAGAATAAACCATTTGTTTTAAATCTATGTTATATTAATAATATAAACAACAATACAGCCAGATAACAATACGGTGCACATTGATACTGAATTTAATATCTATTTTTTTGTTCGGCCCACATTTGTCCAGTTCAAGGGAGATAATTAATATTTTAAAAACTTGCTAAAATAGGTGTCACAATTTTCCGATAATGAATGTAAATTGAATTGCATTATAAAAAGGATTGAAATTGAATTTATAGTCAATAGAGAAAAATATTGTTCACAGTTAATAAAATAATCTCGCGTTCTTCGCGACACTCCCAGGGAACAGAAAGTTAAACACAAAGTCAATGTTCACTATCAAGACGTCCACTCATGGATTTTCTGTTTTACTTGTTTCGCAGCACGTCTCTGAGGTCTGGTAGAGAAAGTTTGAGTCTCACACTTTGAGTTCTGTTCAACATTATTAACAATGTCAGTTTGTTCAACATTGTCATCGTGACATTCCAAAGGATAATCGAAGTTCAAAGTTCTGTTTTAAGGTTTCTTCGACGGCAATGATACCTTTGCTGATCTACATTGTTCGTCACTACTTTTGGATAAGTTTATGATTTTACCAATATTCCACATTTCTCTCGGAAGATCGTCTTTGATCAAAACAACGTCACCAATCTGTAGATACTGATTTGAGCGCACTCTTTTCTCTTTAAGTTTAACGGTAGTTCTTTCACGAATGCTGAGCAGATAATCATCTCGCCACACTTTCCAGAATCTATTCAAATGGTTTTGACCTTTTTTTCCAAAGTTCCAAAAGATTTCCGGTTGAACTAAACTGAGGTTTATATTCTGGATCGTCATCATTATCGATTCGCTCTGGTATTCCGGTGTGTTTATTTAGCGTGAGGAAACAAGACGGTGTTTACACAATATTAGAGTCAATATCCTCACCAATGTATGCTAACAGTCTACTATTAACATCGGCTTCAACTTCTGTTAAAAGTGTTTGTAATTGCTCGACGCTCAAACAAACCTTTCCTATGGCTTTACGCAATGAACGCTTTGCAAGTCCCACTATTCTCTCGTAAAATCCACCCATCCAATGGGCTAGTTCTACTATGAATTTCCAACTGATGCCTTTGTTAGAAACATAGTTTTGAATGTCCGGATCGTTAAGAACCTTTTTCCTTTCCTGTTGTACTACATTACTTGCGGCTTTAAACTGTAGATCATTATCTGAAACAATTTGTATAGGAATTCCGCAACGGGCAACAAATCTTTGGAATCCAAGATAAAATTGTTCTGCAGTCATATCAAGCATGAGTTCCAAACGTATTGCATGCACAACTAAGCAGGTGTATAAACAGACCCACACCTTTTCAGTTCCATTCACAGTTTTTATATAAAGCGGACCAAAGGAGTCAATTCCGGTGTATTTGTACGGACTAGATTCAGTTACTCTTTTCTTCGGGAGTGGAGGGATGAGCAGATCTTATACGGCCCTCCTCAATAACGGATACAGTTTCCACAAGTTCGTGAAACATGTCGGACTGTTGATCTACCTTGCGGAATCCAATGCTTTTGTCTTATTTCTGATAACGTTTGAGCATCTCCAATATGTAACAAGTTCCTGTGGTAGTTGTTAAACAAAAGTTTTGTGAATACTTCTTTCTTCGGTAACAAGATCGGACATTTAGCATTTTCAGGAATATCTGCATGTTCAATTCTACCTACACATCCAATTAATCCTTTATTGTCTATTGTAAGACCTAATTGACGTAAAGTATTACTTGACTTGTTTTTAGTAATATCATGTATAACCTTCGCAAAATGTTTCCTTTGAATGTAAACAATCCACATGCATTTTGCATCTTCAAGTTCCTTTGCAGTAAGCGGTCCCGAAATGGTGTCCCTTTTCAGTTTTCTAATGAATCTTTGTATCCAAGCAGTTATTCTCAACAATCTTATCAAGTTTGAAAAATTGTCACAATTCAGATCAAACGGTGATTCAGATTTTCGCTCACAATTATCTCCTATAGGAGGCTCCCCAACAAGGAGTTCAGTCTGTTTGGTCCTATTGCTCGGTTTAATTTCGGATTTCATAAGGTTATCGTTTTCAACTGTCAAATCATAAGACCAAGTTGGCCATTGATCGTGTGAAAGCAGGAGCCAAGAAGGTCCATTCCACCATAGATTGTTCGATTTAATTTCACTAAAATGTATTCCATGGCTTGCAACGTCGGCTGGATTTATATCGGTTGATACATAGCGAAATTCAGTATCGGTGCATTGTCTGATTCCCTTTAAACGATTTTCAACAAACGTTGACATTTGTGTTTTCGACGCTAATCAATGAATGACACACTGCGAATCTGTCCATAAAGTTTTCTTCATTACAGTGACTTTTAGATGACTTTCAACAAATGCTAAGCATCTCATTCCAATAATAACGGCAAGAAGTTATAATCTCGGTAGGCCAACTGTCTTAATCGGAGCAAGACGTGGTTTTGATTAAATCAAGTCTACTCTACATGATTCATCTGTTTCATGACGCAAATAAATTGCACAAGCATAACCATTTGTTGATGCATCACAAAAACAAAGTAACTGATATGTACACTGGCTATCTAATCCAATGTATCGATCGAAAGTATGTGTCTGTATTTGTTTAATGTCAAAAGCAATTTCTATCCATAAGTCGCAGTCATTATAGGACAACTTACAATCCCATTCAACCTTTTTACTCCATAAAGTTTGTAATAACAATTTTCCAAGCAAAGTAACTGGTGAAAATAATCCTAACGGATCGAATACTGATGCAATCGATTGCAAAATTTCTCTCTTTGTACATGACGATTCTAAAGTTCCTAATTTCGGTCCAGACATTGATAGTTTATCATCTTTGACAGTCCAAGTAATGCCGAGCACTTTCAATCTCTCTCTGTTTGCTTGATCCTGCTTCGGTATCTCGGACATGAACTGAGTTGAGTTTGAACACAAATCCCTAAGATTCATTGAAGCTTCTTGAAAAAAATTTTTGGATTCATTATACAGTTCTTTCAATTCATCGTAAGTATTGACTCCTGTAAGCAAATTATCTACATAGATATTATCTTGAGTCTTTGTAGCAACTGGTGTATTAAACCTCCGCAGATGCAAGTCAATGGTTACAGCCAAGAGAAAAGGGCTTGAAACGACCCCAAACGGAACACGACAAAATCTATATAATCTGGACGTTATTGATATTGAATAACGGCATTGTTCGGTCTTTTACCCAGAAAAATCAGGTCACATCTCGGTCTGGGTTCTGAAATCCGAGTTGCAAAAAGAAACAGCAACCACGGCATATTTGAAAAAAATCGGAAACGAAGTAATAATCCACAAAGATCTTTCAACATCACGGGTCCTCTGTAGAGACAGTTATACAGACTTTTATTATCATCTCTTGTTTTCGCTGACGCATCGTACACAATGCTAACCTTTGTTGTCGGCTTTGTTGAATCTACAACTGCATGATGTTGTATATAGTGAGTTATATGATCCTCATGTTTCGATAATCCCCTTTTCACATTGCTCATTGATAATTTTATCATAATTTTCAAACAGTTCCGATATGTGTCTCAATCGATGCAACAAGGACCGATATCTTCCAAAAGCCAGTTCTTTGTTGTCATTAGGTGTTTCTTGTTTGGATTTCCACGGCCTGCATACCAAGTAGCGTTCATTCATATACTCAACAGAATTGTTAAATTTTTCTAATGCCTTTGTATCATTAGAATTTTCAGACGGTCCACTGATGCCTATTGTTTCAAGATTCCAAAAATCTTCTAGCGGTGGTTTTACAGGCATCGAATTGTCAATAGCAGTAACGGCACAGGAGTCTAATAATGGGAGAACATTTGTTCCATAGTTTAAAATCAGCATGCTGGGCTCCTCTAAGCCATCTGATTTTTCTGAAGTTCGACCGGTGATGATCCAACCCAATTTAAAACCTAGCAAGTATAATCCTGGTTGAATTTCAAATTTATCTGTGTAAAATTAAGTCTAAGTAATAATCGTTATCAATGAGCAGCTCAATTATTGATTTCTCATTTTCTGTTGGAAGGGTGTCAGCAAGACTAAATATGCTAAAGTAATTCCACAAATATTCATAATTTTGACACTTTTTAATCGAAACGGGTCTCCTAAGTATACTTCCGGTAATTTTGGGCACTACATTTGCACTTATTTCCATTCTAGTCCCATCGGCTAATTTTATCTGAAGTGTGACCTTTTGTGTTTTCACTAATTTCGGCTTATCGGACCCAAAGGTAATAACGGATACTTCTTCGACGGATTCAATTTTCAATTTAAGTTTTCTAGCTAACGTTTCAGAAACATATGTGCGTTGACTTCCGAAGTCCAGCAACAGTCTGATTTCCTCGTTACAAGTGTCTGACGTATTGGTTATAACGGTTTTCGCAGTCTGCATTAACACAATATCGCCAGACGGAAGAAAGGAAGATTCAGTAGTAAGGCTAACGGTTTCTGTTGTTTCGGCAGATTCGTCTGCTAATTCGACATTTCGGTTCTGCTACTGTAAAATGTCTTCAAACACAAACTTCTGTGGTGTTTTTTCGTTTTACTACAATAAACACATTTTTGGTCACTAATACAATCACGTAATCTATTTCCAGATTTCAAACATATATAGCACAATCCATTTAGTTGCGCCTTTCGATCTTCAACGGTTTTGTACATACTGCACCCGTCTGACCAGTGGCTGTTTTTGCAATATATACACAATTTCTTCACTTCAGTTCGGTTCGATGTAAACAGCCTATCGTGTGTTGCGGAAAATAATGCTTCACCCGAGTTTCTTACATTTTGGGGTTTAACATATGACGGTTTATATCTAGATTGGACGTATGCATTTGACGGCTGTTGCGGTTTAACATCGTTTGTTTTTTCCTTCGACTGACTTTCTACGGCTTCACGTGTGGCTATGTAGGATTTAAGTAAATCACGCAGTTTTACGACTGTCCATTTATCAGAACCTTTCTGGATTTTAAGCTGAACTCACAACGGTTCGGGAAGTTTTGTTGTTATCATGAAAATAATAACACCATGATCTATATTCTGATTTAACGCTTCAAGACTTCTCAAGTTACTTTCAATTTTATCGTAAATAGATCTTAGATCTGATGTACGGTTTGACACGCAAGATAAATTAATACGCTCAACGTATTGTGCATTAACTGCGTTCTGTACATCCGGATATTGCACTTTGAGCTGAGCCATGTAGTTTATTTTTCAAGTATTTGAATTTTTCAGCATTTGACAGTTGAGTGTTTTTGTGAACAGTTACTTCAAATTGGTCCCAAAATTCTTTAAACTTCTGTTTATCTCCATTATAACCAATTATTTTTAGTTTTGGTAATTTTACAGCTGCTTGATTTTGTTCATCATGTTGAGGTTTAGTATTTTGAATTTCTATCAATTGTTCAAGTTTAGTATCTGGTTCTGGTTCTGAAAAGTTTTAAAATTTTTCCTGTAGGAAATTATCAATTAATTTGAGTTCTTCCTTGCGGCTTGTTACTTCCGTTGTTATATTGAAGTACACTTCACTTTCCTTTTGAAATGTTTTCAGGTCTTTTTCGGCTTTAGCACTTCCAAGTGCGAGTGATAACCTTTCTATTGTTTCTTCACATTTGGGGCCAAATTCATCGAGTCTGCGATATGATTTGTTTTCCTTTCTGATCTGCGATTCAAGATTAAAATCGGACACTTCCTTTGTCAATAGTTCCTCAGATTTACCTAGTTCAACCTCTAATAAATTTTTATGTCGTGTTTTTAGGCTTTCAGATGTGTAAGAGACATTTGGAATGTTTACGTTTTGTCGTTTGTATGTATCAGAAATTATTGTCAGCTTTCATCACTTACTCCCGGATTCCGGCACCATTCAATGAATCGAAAGAATTAACCATTTGTTTTAAATCTATGTTCTATTAATAACATAAACAACAATACCGTCAGATAACAATACGGTCCAAAGTGATACTGTTGCGGAAAAGATGAACTGATTCGATCCGCTGTTATGAAGACCGACACAAGAATTTCAAAAATTCTTAATAAGAAAATAAGTCCTATTAGTTGTTAATTTGGAAGTATGTCGTTTTCATTTTAGAAAAAAAGAAACTTTATAATTAACACTTTGCATAAACAACAGAATACATTTTCATTATAGGTGTTGGTCTAGTTCACGACAAATATCCTTTAGACAGACTTCCAGGATGGAAATCGGGTTCGATAGGTTTTCATGCTGACGATGGCAGGTATTATTTCATATTTGAACTAAAAATCATTGAAGAAATATAAAAATATATAGTTAATTCCTATAAATCAGGAGATACTTTTCTTATGTATAACTAATCATAATGTCAATTTATAAATTTGTGCAAACAGTGATTCTGAATAATCTTCTGTTTCAAAAATGTGCATTTTGTTATTTCAACAATTATTACTTTGGAGCAAATTGTGTAACGACGATAAATGACAACGCAGTGTTTAACTAAGTGGACTGCTCTCCTCTTCTGCTATAATGTTTTATATATGTTATTTTGGTCATATTTTTGTGTAATTAGCTTGCTGGCCCATTGACTTATCACTTGATGTTTTCTTTCCTTTTTTCTTAAATAATTTTCTTGACCTGAATACACATTGTTTACAATTTAATTGCCATATTTTCTCATTTTATCTTCCAATGATATTGATCAACTATTATTTCATTTAATATATCTTTTATTCAAGCATTTTTATTGAGACCGGTTATGGTGATCCATATGGACCTGTGTGGAATGTTGGGGATATGATTGGATGTGGGATACATTTACCATCAGAAACGAATTCTCCAAAAAAATCTAGTAAAGTGGATTTTTTCTTCACATATAACGGAAAGAAGGTACGAATATATATGTTGATGTTTTAAGAGTTATCGCTGATAAATGTTAGCAATATACTTTTCATTTTCAACTTATTATTTTTTAAATAAAGATTTGATAAGGATAATGTAAATAATGCTCTATGTTGCTCGATAGTGAACTGATAAAATTGAAAAGTTTGATCACATTCAAATTTTAGTTAGTGTCCCAATTATGTTGATAATGCCGTTATAAAATGCACTAAAACATAAAAACGCGGTTAGGCAATTAGACAAGTACCCGTATCTTGTTATAAATATGTATTTATACGATTTTTAAAGTGTTAAACAATCGTGACTTCCATGCACATGCACCATGCATATACAAATTATTAAAAATGGGGATTATAAAAAACTACTATATACAAACATAGGAATACACTTCCAAAAAGAGGTACTGCCGTCATCGCTGGTTACAATTTAAATTCAATAAAATCTGTTGCAATGTAAGAATATATGTATTTGTATATTTTTAATCGTGAAACCTTTGTTTTTTCATAAATTTATTTGCTTTATCAAATCCAAATGTCTTTGAATATGTCGTATAGTTCCGCTTAGAAAGGAGATAGTTTTGGTTTTCCTATTTGAATCGAAATGATTTGTTCATGTGATGCCTTTATATAGAAATAAGAAGACGTGGTATAATTGCCAATAAAACAACTTTCCACCAGAGACAAAATGACATAGAAGTAAAAAAAAACTATAGGCCACCTTACGGCCTTCAACAATGAGCAAAACCTAGTTATGAATTTTAAATGTAATGATAAATGAGATGAGATTTTCGTTGTTTATCATCCTCTACTTTACGATTAAATTCCGTTTGTTCGTTCTTATCATGTATACGAGGTACACGTTTTCTAGCTTGTTTGCTCTAAAGTTTCAGATTTTAATGAATGGGCTGTTTTTAATTACTCAAAAAACTTAAACACCAAGGAGATTGATAACTAAAATTAGTGGAAACTTTTTAACTTTAATGACTCTGTAGTTATATTTGGTCTACACAAATTTACTATGGGCAATATTTGAGTGCAACCTGAGTTTTCTGCACTGTTAATAACGATAATATATGACATCTATTTAGAAGTGGAGTTGGCTATATAAACATTAAAAATGAATGATGCATAGTTCAAGTCATTGATTTTGACGAAGAACAACTGAAGTTTTCTTGTCAATAAGTAGTTCTCATTTACTAGTAGGCCAACCGTCTTGTAACTTTGCCCATGATAAAAAAAAATGAAAATGCATAATTTATTATGTCTATTTGAACTATGTGTTTAAATTTATTTGTAATGACACTGGTCTGAATTTTTTTTCTGTCAAGAATTTAGTTATTGATGTTCTCAATCTCTATTACATCTATTAAAATTCTAGACTTTTGTGATTAAGATTTCGAAATTTATTTTTTTAAGACCGTACTTTATTGATCTCAGGTGTATATTTTGGTATGACGGTATTGTTTGGTGTCAGATTTATGAAATTCCTTTTATCTTTGGCAAGTGTTCTCCTCAGAACTAAGTTTAAGCCATTTTTCGAAAAATTTACACACTGAGATTTAAAAACTTCAAATTACAAATTACACACTGAGATTTCAACAAAAACCCACTGAGATTAAAAAACTTGAAAAGACACACTGATAATTAAAATTACACACTGATATTTCGAAAAGACACACTGAGATTATATTAACCGAAAAACACATACTGAGAATTTAAATTACACACTGGGATATATGCGCACATCTTATACGCATATATCTAATTAGCATTCTAATCTGAATCTAATACAAGCTTGGGGTCTCCCTGATTAGCGACAGGAAGTGTCAAGAAACGAAACGAAGACTGATCTAGCACCAAGTAGCGAGAAGAAAACAAATTTGGCGTCAATATATTTAAATATTTCTGTAGAAAAACCTTTGATTTTGTTCTGATTATTATTTTTGTTTCTTCTCCTGCCACATTTATTTCTTGCGTGTAATTTTTGTTTCGCAAGATGTCGCTTTGATGTTTGGTATATGATATCGAACAGTTTATGCGCCTTTAAAAATGACCCTGCTATACCGAATACTTTTATTTCCCCGAACACCATTTTCCTTGTGAGTGCATCTCCTCCGTTACCGTAAAAGAAATCGACAAAATTTTATTAAATTGCTCGTTATATCCTTAGAATATTTTGACCAATTTTGACTGAAGCGATACGAAGACTCCAAATGAGAGTTATTTCCACGTCTGTATATGACATAACTGATATGTTAACGTATCGCATGCATGGTAAGTGATAGAGAACTAAGGTATTTTCATTTGAGGTCCTTAGTTCACAAAAATGAATTTTTGACAAAGACCAAAGGTCAAGGTCATGTTCTGAATTTGACTTTTCCTTGTTTTATGGTCTCAACTGACACTTTCAAAGATATAACGTCTTATAGGAGGCATTGCCCCTGAAATGTTTTAATTTAAGGTTTATTGATTATTACTTCAACTTGGTACATAATAAAGCCATAGGGTCTTTTACAAAATAAAGGGGTTACATATTCCCTTGCAAAATATCAACCGGAAGTGGCATTGAGTTATCCGGCGTACATATTTTTGCACTTAATTCATGGAAAAGAACCTAGAAACCATTTATTTTTTCAATATGCATATATAGACCTATAGTTTGAGACAGGAAGTGACCTTCAATAAACCGGAAGTAGCTAATTATCTCCCTTATTACAGGCAAAAGTATATATTCATTAGTAATGTGTGGTGTGTAATTTTAAATTCTCACTGTGTGGTTTTCAGTTGATTTAAAATCAACGTGTCTTTTTGAGTTTTCAGTGTGTAATTTTCAAGTCTGTTTAATTTTTCAGTTATTTAATCTTAGTGTGTCTTTTTGATTTCTCAGAGTGTAATTTTCAATTTTCTTTGTGTTTTACAGTTTATTTTATCTAAGTGTGTCTTTTAGAATTCTCAGTGTGTCATTTTCAATTATCTGTATGTTCTTCAGTTTATTTAATCTCAGTATGTCTTTTTGAATTCTCAGTGTGTAATTTTCAATTGTCTGTGTTTTTCAGTTTATTTAATCTGAGTGTGTCTTCATAAATTCGCAGTGTGTAATTTTTAATTATCTGTGTGTTTTTTAAGTTTATTTAATATCATTGTATCTTTTTGAATTCTCAATGTGTTATTTTCATTCTCTGTGTGTTTATAAATAATTTAATCTCATTTTGTCTTTTTGAATTCTCGGTGTATAATGTTCAATTCTCGTTGTGTTTTCCAGTTTATTTAATATCAGTGTGTCTTTTTGAATTCTCAGTGTGTCTTTTTGAATTTTAAATGTGTAATATTCAATTCTCGTTGTGTTTTCCAGTTTATTTAATATCAGTGTGTCTTTTTGAATTCTCAGTGTGTCTTTTTGAATTTTAAATGTGTAATATTCAATTCTCTGTGTGTTTTTCAGTTTATTTAATCTCAGTGCGTCTTTCTAAACTCTCAGTATATCTTTTTGAATTCTCAGTGTGTATTTTTTTAATTCTCTGTGTGTTTTTCAGTTGATTTAATTTCAGTGTGTCTTCTTCAATTCTCAGAGTGTAATTTGTAATCTCAGTGTGTGTTTTATGTATTTTAATTTCAGTGTGTTTTTTAAAATCTCAGTGGGTATTTTTTTTCGAAAGTTGGCTAAAACATAGTTTTGACCAGAACGGCTTGTTATATTTCATATTTCATATCTATATCATTTATTGATGTCTCATGTCAAAACTGCAAACGCATAAAATATGTCAAGTTGTCAAAATTCACTCATCATCTCATGTCAACATTTGGTATACTGAAATAAGTAAACAACAAAGCGACAATCAAAAGTCCGAAATAAAAAAAGGACGAGAAACACTTCATCAAAAAAAAAAGAACGGAAAAGACTAAACAGTTTATATAACGCCTCAAAGAACACTCAATAGAAATAAGAAGATGTGGTATGAGTGCCAATGAGACAACTCTCCATCCAAGTCACAATATGTAAAAATTAAACAATTATAAGTCAAAGTACGGCCTTTAACACGGAGCCTTGGCTCACACCGAACAGCAAGCTATAAAGGACCCCACTGAACATCAGGTTCCTGACTTAGGACATGTGCAAACAAATACAGACGGTTTAAACGTTTTAACAGTCGCCAAACTTCACCCTAACCTGAAACAGTAGCGCAACATTACAACATAAAAAGACACACTATAAAATATCAATCGAAATGGCTCAACTCAATCAAAGAGACATATTCACAAAAACAAGTAAACATACACTGAACGAATAAATTTGATCTATTACACAATATAAGTACAATATTAATAACAAAAAAAGATGTAAAATAATGTCAAAAAGACAACTGCTGTTGTCTGTTCTATGGTCGGGTTGTTGTCTCTTTGACACATTCCCCATTTCCATTCTCAATTTTAACTATAACCTGGGAAAAAATGGCGCTAAATAAAATAATAATAATTTTGTTGTTAGGAGTACGGAAATATTTTTTACAAAATAAATAAATTTGCTGTTCATAGTACAAGAACAGAAGTGAAACTCAAGACTGACCCCAAATACCATACTACATTTAGGGAAAAAAATAGGTGCATGCTAAATGGAACGAGTTCTTGTTGAATTATTGATCCATTCTTATCAGTGATTACATACACATGTTTGATGGTAGTTCGGTTTTGACAGTAAGGCATGCATCAGAGTAAATGACTGTAATTATCAACATGTTGAACTAAACTTTATGAAGCATCGTTCTAGCTTTTGTTATTATTACTACATATACCCCATAGGTAAATTAAAACTACAGACTATTTTGTAAACTGACAGATACACTTTCAACATAAAGTACCAAAAAACATTTCAGTCGGTTATCATCCTTATATTATCAGTTTTTTCTTTTTACATTTATAGCTTAACACTAAAAAAGTAAAATATCCAACAACTGGTTTCTTTCCTGCTATCGGAATAAGAAGTGAAGGTGCCACAGTTAGATTACACTTAAATGCACAATCGAACGAGATAGTCGGAATAGCAATAGACGAAACTGACCAAATTACAAAACAGGTTTGCTTTACCATAAAAACTGAAACAATATAATGTTAGAATAAAGACTGGATAAAAAATGTACAAGAATCCTTAATGAGCCAAACTCAATGAAATATCTGTTCAATAAAAAATTCATCTAAGGTGAACGTGGCCTAAAGGAGTTGAAACCTCAATTTCTCAATAATTTATTAATTTATAAACGGTGAATTTAAGTAAAGTTGTTAAAAATCATGTCAGTGCCGAAGCATTGAATACTGAGTTGATGAATTCACAGGGAACAAATAGTTCACCAGCAACTGTATCGACCCACTGCTATTACACTTGATTAAAAAGTAAAATAACAAAAATACCGAACTCCAAAGAAAATTCAGAAAGTCCCTTATCAAATGGCAAATTCAAAGGCTTAAACACATCGAACGAATGGAAAACAACTGTCGTATTCCTTGGTTCTTAATTTGGTGCTCTTTTCAGGATTTACCATCATCCGGAACGCTTAAACCCAACCATTTCGTAAAGCAAGGATGTATAAACCTAACCGTGTGAGGAGCTATAAATGATCAAAAGGGACCAAAAAATAGTCAAATTCTTCAGAGATCAACATTGCTTGAAGGAATTGTAACTTTGTATAAAAATTACGTCGGTACCGAAGCGCTGACTATAGAGTTGATGATACTCTTGGGTCTATCAGTCCACCAGCAGTGGTATTCCCAGGCCAGTGATAGTAAATGAAAATAACACTTTGTCATTTTGTGCGCCCGAAGCGCTTTTATTGATTTATTTTCGTCAAGAACGCTCAAACATTTGAAATCCAAAGATGTATAAGAGCTACATGACCAAAGGGGAGCTTAATTCATATAAAGTCAGCTTTTCCTGATATATAAAATTGAGAATGGAAATGGGGAATGTGTCAAAGAGACAACAACCCGACCATAGAGCAGACACCAGCCGAAGGCCACCAATGGGTCTTCAATGCAGCGAGAAACTCCCGCACCCGGAGGCGTCCTTCAGCTGGCCCCTAAACAAATATGTATGCTAGTTCAGTGATAATGGACGTCATACTAAACTCCAAATTATACACAAGAAACTAAAATTAAAAATGATACAAGACTAACAAAGGCCAGAGGCTCCTGACTTGGGACAGGCGCAAAAATGCGGCGGGGTTAAACATCTTTTTTGATATCTCAACCCTCCCCCTATACCTCTAGCCAATGTAGAAAAAACAAATGTACAACAGTACGCACAGTAAAACTCAGTTTAAGAGAAGTCCGAGTCCGATGTCAGAATAGGAAACAAAAGAAAATAAACAAAATGACAATAATACATAAATAACAACAGACTACTAGCAGTTACTGACATGCCAGCTCCAGACCTCAATTAAACTGATTGAAAGATTATGTCTTCATCATATGAATATTCATATTTTTGACGGTCGGCTCTATCTGCCTCAAATTTTTTTGTATCTTATTTGCCATGTCCATTTCCATCTTATTATCAAATGTGTAGGATCCCTGCAATGTATTATGTTTAACGGAATAGTTATCTTTTTTGGATAAACATACATGTACTCATACAATATATTGTACGATAAATATACCATGGAGTCCACGATTTTAAGAAAATGGTTTTTGTTCGATAACTACATACAAGATCACTAAAATGTGGTATATGTTTGTCAAGTACCATTATTTATAGTATTTGATAGCATCAAAATGTACAAGATCAAATGTTCTTAAAAAATTGAAATATGTATTGAATAGAAATAATTTTGCTCGTATATATTTAACTTTTATAAGACCCATTACGAAATATGCATGTGAATTATGGGATGGTTGTACTCAACAAGATGCCGACAATTTAGAACATGTTCAGTTGGAAGCAGGAAGATTAGTAACTGGGTTGCCCGTGTTTGCTAGTCGGGAAGCTATATATTTTGAAACAGGGTGGCAATTGCTGGCGGATAGAAGAAAGTCCAGAAAGCTCAATATGTTTTATTCTTTACATAATGGGACTGCCCCTGATTTTCTCTGCGATTTAATGCCCCCACTTGTTGGTCAAATATCTAATAACGATTTGCGAAACAGTAATAATTATGTAGTACCAAGTTTTAGACTGGATATAACCAGAAAATCCTTTTTTCCGTCTACTACTATTGAATGGAATAACATAAACCGGGACATACGTTCGTCCAAAAATATAAATATTTTTAAACGAAAGATGAAGCCTAAATTGATACAGCCACCCTCCTATTTGAGTTGTGGTGATAGAAATCTTAATATCATTCATACACGTTTGAGAAATATGTGCAGTTCTTTAAATTCAGATTTACATCGTGTTAATATTAAACCCAGTCCCGCATGCAGCTGTGGCCACCCTGTTGAGGATAGTATTCACTATTTTTTGAGTGCCCTTTTCACAACGAAGCAAGAGAAATATTGTTTTCAAAATTAAAAAGGTATGCTATATCCATTGAGCTTCTATTGGCTGGTGACGGTGACCTTTTTTTTCAGCAAAACAAAGAAATTTTTGAGTCTGTACAAGCATATATCAGAATAACACAAAGATTTAAAACAATCAATTAACATTCTGAATTCCTACTTTCCAACTCTTCACTCCAGTCCAGTTTTATATATTATTCCATATTATATTGTATTTTTTGTATTTTTTTTGTTTTTAGTTTTTTTTGTTTTTGTATACAGTTTGTATTTATACATGCATTCCTACTATGTTTTTCGTTATTATCTAATGTACTTTGTGTTTATATTTATATAGGGAGAGGACGTCACTAATGTTGTTATAACTTGTGTCCAATCCCTTTTGCTACTTTTGCAAATAAAATATGTTTAAACTAAAATCAAAATGTTTAACAATCATGTTCCAATATAAAGGGACATTTCATCACCACCGAAGGACAGGTTATTTACCCATTTTGAAGGTTATGTGTATGTCCATCTTTCATCTATTTTAATATTAAGAATAGATTTTACATAATTTCATTTCCCCAGGATCGTGAGACACCCAGTGGAAAAATTGAACTACCTGAACTTCTCCGATTCAACATTATACATATTTATCAACTCGACAGTAATCGTGAAGGTTGGAAGAAAAGATGTAATAACATATTTTAAAGAGATTATGTTTTAACATGATAATAACTTTATGCTTTAGATGGAGGTATCACAGAAGGATGCATTTTTAGACGGAAGTTTCTTCAAGGCAACACGTAAACAGAATATTCTGACGTCTGCACTTAAAAATAATATACAGGAAAACCCGACTGCTCCTGATGCTGGGTGGGAATATTATGAATTAAAAAGATCGTATGACACACTGCAGTCGGTCCATTCAGATAAACGAGAGGTAAATTAAATGTCTAATTTCTCTTGCGTCTTCATATATATATGATAGGCCTGTCGGAACCGATGTCACAGAGTACAGAGGTGAACCAGTGGGAGTTGTCATCAACAAGGATATTGTCACCAATCCGTACAACACCTAGAAGGCATGTCATCGCCTCATTTACTATACTTCGACAACAGAAAGAGGCAAGCGTAGTAGGATCGACTTTGGTGAAGGGTTTGACATCGACGACCCTGACCTACTAACCACACCACCGCAAACGTCGCCCTTGAACATTCAGTCTAAACAGGCTATAGAAGCTGCCATACTGTCAGAACGGCCAAACACTCCGCACCAGCAACAACATCACAGTCGGAGCAAGATGAAAGCAAAAAGACAGGCAGATCCAAATCTGTATTTTACGTACTACATTAGTCCGCAATATCCAAAAGGATAGTCGGACCCTAAAACCAATCAATAATTAAAACGAATGTCAGATTTTCCCGTATTGTTAGTTTTTACTGTCTTGTCAATAAATACTGCAGAAATGAAAACACCGAAATACGTCTTATAATAAAATAGGTAAATACGCTTCAACCATTCTTTCCAACCGAAACGTTTATCAATGGTGATTTTTATTGTAACTTGTATTTGTTAGATTCCATATTAGCCTCTGAGTAAATTGAATTTTGTTTCACGACATCGATCTTGTTAAATCATATGCGGGGAAAACAAACGTCGAAAAAGACCAGAAAAATTACACATTAATAAGCTAAACTAACCACACGATATAGTAATTTGGGGTAAATTCTGGTACTTCAGCAGGTTTAATGCAAAAAAACTTTGTGATATTTCTTATATAAAATGACATGATGCTACGATGTAAGATATAATTGTGAATTTCTATTTATCTATATACGATGTAAAATTCTCAAAATTAACGATGGTTATCATGTTGCTATTCATTGACAATTAATATATGTACATCAAATTGCAGGAAAATGAACAGCTGTTCGATTTTTAAAACCTTTGAAAAAAGAATGACGAATACCAATTTTCATCGATGATGTGAAGAATAAATTTTATGGACAAAGATGGATTTTTTTTAAATGATGGACTCAATTGACGGTTTTGTTTACCATATCAATTATTTATATTGATTGACTGCCATGATTTATATCATTTTCTTTTATTAAATATGTTTGCTTTTTAGTTTCACATTTCATTATCGTTTGATATATTGCACCAATATCTACTTACATATTTTAACTACCACTGATGAATTTTCAATTATACCAGAGGAAACCATCTGCCATCAGGTCGGTGCTTCGCATGTGGCACGATTTAAATTATGCATTATGACTACAGAATTTCAGTTAAAAAATTTAGTGTTTGTTATAAAAGTAGGTTTGCAGAAATTTTTAGTAATTGCTAATAATGTAATACATATCCGGTGTTTATTATTTCGACGGAATCTTGTTTGAATTAAATTTCTTATGTGTTTGATATGCAAGGCTTCGCAAACTTCTGGTTTCGATTGACCGGTTTGTCAATATACTAAATTCAGATCAGAAAGGGGAGAATTGAATTGTTTCATATTTTGTCAAATCAGGGCCTTTTTCATCTAGCTATTTATACAGTATGGGTTTTGCACGTAGTTGATGGCCGCCGCCGTATGGTGTTCTATAGATGCTATCATATACGTCATTTGGTCTCTTTGTGATAGTTGTCTTCATATCGTCACAAAAGTTATGTACTGAATACAAATTTGATTAAGGTGAAGATAAAGAACTTGACATTTTAAATTCGAATGTCTCCTAATAATCTTTTAAAAAAAGAGTTCGATGATGAAATTTTAATAAGTTGTAAAAATGACAACGTGTTAACCTTATATCTTTTTCTTTTTATTCAAGAAAACCTAGATTTATTGAATATTAATGAAACTTAAAATAATTGTTTTGAACTTAGAAAATTATCAAACAATGCAGATATGTTTAAATGAAACCCATTAAAATGTTTGCTTATTATTATATGTATACTATAATGCTGTATCTTATTTACTATTGTATTGTCATAAAACATTATTGTAATCATTGTATGAAATTTTAAACACGCAAAGGTCCATGATTGTCAAATAAAGAATTTCTATTTCTATATTTAATCTGTATTTGTTAATACTTTTTACGTACACATATGCTTAATGGTTCTGGTCTGGCTGTAGATTAAGATCATAAAACTAGGTGATTATATATTTCATTATCATTTGCATTTCTCAATTATGTAGATCACTGTAATAAAGTACTTTGCTCACCATAGGACATTTGATTGGAATAAAAATATATTATCTCATCTTGTATCTTACCACATCTTATTTTCATATGGTTTAACCAATTTGATTAAAAACGGTTCTGTTTACCGATTTCTTAAACTTTTGAATACATAATGGTCTCTCACTATTATAACAATTTGAATCAAATTTCAGAATAGTGCTTAATGAAATCAGAGACATATATACACATGTGTATATATGTCTCTGATGAAACCTAGCTTTCTGCGTTGTATCTGAATTGTTTGTTTTCTTCATCAACCAAAAGCTGTGTCTAGCTAAATTCTTGTAGAAGCGAGCACACTTTAATAACAGTTATTAACGTCCAGGCGTGTGTGTGTTGGGGGGGTTGGGGGGGTTGGGGGGGTGTTGGGGGGGGGGGGGGGTAAATATTAAATCAATATAAATATCAGGATGAGAACATGTTAATGGGATATTAAAATAAACCTTTGTTTTACGAGACCGTTCGACACGCTGGGCCGGATTGTTAACGTACTAGTTCACAATGTCAAAATTTACAGAAAAACAAGTCACCCTACCCTGACAGATTATTCTGAGTCCGATCCGCCCAGTATTTGTTCTTACTTTGATATGCCATGTGCTTAGCGGAAAAGCAACAAATACGAATTTTAAAGTCTTTGGTTTAATCCGGTCTAAAGGCCAGAACGTTACCACCAGAACAACAAAGCGGTAAGGACATTTTCTGCATGCATGCCTGTAACAAAATAAGGCTATCTAGACTGTGTGTTGTTCGTTGTTGTTTCTCTTTGTTTAGAGGTCTATTTTTTCGAAGAAGTGGAGTGTTGGTGGTCTTCAAGTGTCTGTCCAATGTTATGGTAATCTATGACTTTGTTGATTCTTACGGAAAAATATTTGTTCATCTTACTATATTTCTGTATTATAGTGGTTAACTCATGGTTCAGATCTGATATAACCAGAGATAAGACAAGGTTCATGTACATGTACAAGTACAAACAAAGTTTGTTGCTATATATCATATTTGTTTTTCGTTCATCATTTTGTTCATAAATCAGGCCGTTAGTCTTCTCATTTGAATTGTTTTACATTTGTAATTTCGGGGCCTTTTATAGCTAACTTTGCGGAACGGATTTTGCTCATTGTTGAAGGCCGTACAGTGACCTATAGTTGTTAATTTCTATGTCATTTGGTCTCTTGTGGAGAGTTGTCTCATTGGCAATCATACCACATCTTCTTATTTTTATATTATGTATTCTTAATATATTCTTATTATCAAATAATTTTTATTAAAAAATCAAAAGAATATGACTTATTTATAAACTGTCACCTTACCAATTATCTTTGTGCATGGTCGTCTTTTCATATGGAAGGCGACATGAATTGAAATAACGCTTGCTTTTACATAAGATGCATAAACCCGAAAGAAAATATCAACATAAATTATGTTAAACATAAATGTTTATTGTGTGGATGCAGTAATATGTGTTCCTGTGCCTGTGGTGTATGCCGTCATACAGTAAGGGCTTTTTGCTTGTGAGAGAAGCTTGCTATGCGGTATATGGCTTTTGCTTATTGTTGACGGCCGTACGGTGTCCTATAGTTCCGAACTTTCTATGTCATTTGGTCTCTGATGGAGAGTTGTCTCATTCGCAATCATACCCATCTTCTTATTTTATAAAGCTTCCTATCTCTGGAAAGTATCAAACCTACAACTCATCAGAAAGGATCCTCCAAAAGACCAACATATATTACTCCATGGCTTTGTTCTTCAATTCACAGTTGTGGCGTGATCGTCAGTTTGAAAGAATTCCGCTCAAACCGGTGCTATAGGGACCGTCTTAAACTTCCAGTGAATTTTATTTTTTTTGCTCCGTGATGAAGGCCTCACTGTGACTTTGAGATAAAGAACAGCAATAAAAACACTTTGTGTTTTTTGCTGTGCATATAATGATTTTGTGTCATGGATGGATACCCAATATATTTTCTTTTCTACTATAGCGTAGAAACGTACATTATCTCCATTTAAAGTTGTGCCTGATATATCCTTTCAATCTCCAATATGTCACTCCGGTACTATAGAATAAAATAAAAACAACTAACAAATTGAATGTTCAGAAGTACATTGTCTTAGAGCTTGAAATGTCAGAAAACACCCACAGGAGACTTATTACAAATCGTTTTTGATGCTTTTTGTGTAAGATATACATTTCTAACGTGTGTCTGTGTGATTTTTTGTGCCTTTGAGTTCCTCAAAAATCCGAACAGTCACGTAATTTTATTTTTATCGTACATCATTTATTTTTAAACTGTCATATGCTTTTCTGCTCTTTAGTCGGGTTGTTGTCTCTTTGACACATTCCCCGTTTCCATTCTCAATTTTATATGATACATTGTAATTGCACACTAATTTTATGGAACAGGTTAATTCAATACATTTTTGTGAAAAATGCATGACTTTTTGTTATCGTTGTCATGTGGGATGGTGTATTTAATTACACCTTACACATCAGTTGCATCTGATATAAAATCATATAACGTTTTGTGTTAATAGATAGGAAACCGTTTTATGCGTTTAGAACTAAAATTTGGAATCATGTTGACATAATTCGATGTTGAATAAATTAACAAGCGTGATCAAATTCTACTGTGTACAAATAAGATTGGATTGTCAATTTAACAGTTATAGATATAGTTTCCGGTTAGGATTGTCATAGGAGCTTAATATTTCAATACGCTTCCTGAAAAATGTAGGATCACTAAATAGACGGAGGCAACATCCTAGAATTCAATATCACTGTTTTTTCGGACAAACGTTAATTTGTCAGCAACCCAACGACATACACAACCAAAAAACATCTAGATAGCAACAACAAACTTGAACAACAGATAGGTGTCTTTACGGTATGTCAAGATCTAAATTCCAAGTTCATTATAACAGAAACTAAACAAGTGTGAAATTAACACATCTAGTTTGGATATTCAATAAAAAATGAAAACAACACTTTATAAGTTTCATGCGAAGAGCTTTTCTGACTTTACCTTCATCAGGAACGCTCAAAGTCGAACATTTGAGAGCCAATGTGTATAAGAACCGAAACAGTTGAAGAGCTTCAAACTAAAACTTTTCGGACAATCAACACGTTTACAACCATTAAAATAATATATTAGAGGCATTCAACCGTGAAATAACGATTAATACCAAGTTTTTCGTTTGTTTTTCGATGAACTATTTAGACGTTATGGAAATCACGCGCAGTCATGAATGTTGCATTTTGTTGTCAACCAATCAAAAGTAGTACATGTGTGCTGAAGCCTCCTTTGTTCTGTTCATAATTCAGATTTGTTTTTACCTTTAATTGCATGGTTTTGGTTCCTTTTTCAGTTGTAATCGAAAACAAATATACATTTTTTCTTCCCATAATCTGAAATTAACAGCATAGGATTGGTGATCCGACTTATCATTCTATTTTTGTTGAGAAAATTTCCAGTACCTGTGTAAGTATAATATGTTAAAGGGGGCAACATTGCATCCTTCCGGCCATATATGTGACAATTGCACAGACATCTACTACTAAATGTAGTTAATTTGATACAAACAATGACATAGATGTATGCTATGAATGTAAATGGTAATTGTGTCGAAAGACTGATGATAAAATACCTGCGACATTCTGTTACAGAATTATAACGTATAGGTCGATCTATGTTTAGCTGTTTCTAGTTGTACATGAACCACCTATAAGTGACCAAAATTTTGATCTGCAGTAAATTCGTTGCTACGAAATACAAGGGCCATGGCTTTTCTTAAATTGAACCATATGTC